TCGCCACTCGAATCTTTTTCGTTCTTAATAACTAAGGTCATAAAGCAAACAACTGTCTAAGCCAAACGATACACAAATCATCATTTTTCCCTCAATCCTTTTTTCCTCCTTCATAAGACGGTACTATCTGAAGAAAATGCGGGGAGGGAGGGGGAGTGGATGAATCCCTTTTTTGTGATTGTATAAACTATACAATCGAATGCTTTTAGCCCCTAACCACACACAACCAACCACACACACATACACACATATATCCATACACAAACCATCTCATACTTCATCTATCACAGTGTCATATTACACCGCAACTGAGGAGAGGGGGTTGTTCACACTATCAACAAACATCATAATTTATGAAAGGACAGGTGCTTGTGCGCTAGCTTTTTCGCAGCACCTGTTAACATTTACAACTCAGTGCGCCAACAAAAGAATTTTGAAGAATCCCTCTAAGAAAAACTAAGAATTATCAAAATTAATTCTGTTTTAACTCGCTATGAAAAGAAGAGGCAATCTGTTGTATTTTGAGAATAATAATTGCTAATAGGAAAAACCTTTCGCCGGCAAGGCTGTCGATGGCTCCCTCTTTCAGAAACTGTTTAGAAACAAACTCATAACAGTTTTTACTTGTTTTATATGTTATTATCAATTCATCATCGAAATGAATGAACGATTCGTAGAGGGATTGATTGTCCCAGCGGGGGTTCATCTTCGACCTACTGCAAGGAAATAGCGATAATTCCCAATGCTCCCATATATAATATAAAAAATTCATTTTTTTTAGTGTCTGTTTACTGGTAGGTATAAAGCAGTAGCATCTTGCTGGTATCTTAGTACCAATTTATTTATTTTTTTTTTAATTTTTCCAATAAACTTCACTACTTGGTAATTTTTGGAGGAATTTTCATAATTTTTCTTTAGCCTAATTCGTATTTTAGCAACAAATATCAAAAAAATATCGAATTAGTCAAGCTAATCGTGGTTTCGGCAAAAAAAAAAAAACGATCAAAAGCACAGAAGAAAAAAAAGTCTGGAAAAAAAAAACTCACTCGTCAGCAATGATTGCTTCATGCGTCTTCGCTTCCGTACGCCACCTGATCGCGAAAGTTTTTGCTCTGCTCGTCGTTGTGCCTTACGTGGTAATGGTTGCCGGATTTTCGTTTTACGTTTTCCAGGCGAAGTAACTCGCCGTTTTCGAACTCTGGTGGTTTTCGGGAGTACGAAAATCTGCAGAGTGTTTTATGCAGGAAAAACGTTAAAAAAAAAATTGGCAAAGTTAGAATTTCAAATATTATTGTTTAAATTTCAAACAGAATATTTAAAATTTCAAAAATTTCATGCAAGAACATGAGCAAATTAGAATAATTTCAAATACGTATAAAAAACTAGAATAGTTTGAATTACAAATATATATAATACAGCGTGTAGCAGAAGCATAATACTGAAAAATCACTACTTTGTTTATCGATAATTCTAAAAAGAAATTACAGAAAACCCTCTAGTTTTGAGAAAATTATCGGATAAATTCCCGAAATTAGATTCTTGCTCTGGTTCCGGATGTGCTGCTAGGATGTAAGGGCATATGTACAAAGATATGCGGAATCTTACAGGCATGATCGGAGCCGCAGCTGCAGTTTCACGACTTCTTGTATGATAAGCGACCACATCAACGGTTTCATCAACTTTTTTCGTAAAAACAGGTGGCGTCATGAATAGTTTGCGTCGCTCACATGACGGATAATAGGTAGTTCGATAAAACTGAGGAACCTATAATTGGTAAAACTGAGTTAAAAGTGATCACTGCCCTGACGGTACTGCTCCTAGATAAACTTCAGAAGCGACCCAACGCTGTAGAAAATAGCCCTGGCTCAAATACAACCGTCATAGGTAAAAACCATCCAATTCAAACATTTCTAGGAGTCTCCATGCTGGCAAACTGGTATATGCTGATATCCCGGCACGAAAAAGAATCAAGCTGTTTCCTAGCTAATCATCACCTTTGTCCTCCTATACACAATGGATCAACCGAAGATCACTTTAATACTCCCTTACTTTGTTGCTTTGATAAATCCTTGTTTTTTCGCCATGTTTCTTCTGGATAATTTTGTAGGTAGCTCGGAACTTCTTCAAAGTTTTCGCAATTTCGGAACTCTTCCACTTACACAATTCCATACAGCCGTTCAAGCGGATTCTTCCGCCACACTGCGGTTTTTCCACTGCTCCACTTGCATGAATACAAATCAGGAAATTCGCTTTGTCCATCTGCTACTACTCATTCTTGCTGCATGACCCGCAGCAACTCTGTTTTTTTATGCTTGCTGCCTTGATAATATCGCTTAAATTAGATCGAAAACACAGTACTTCACCGGAAATGTGCTGCAACTTGCTAACATAAAATGTTCCAGAGGAAGTTAGGTCACTGCCAACTTTTTCTCCTCATCAAAAGCGGTATTCCTTGTTTCAATTCCATCGAGAATGTAACTTTTTCGCAGTCGATGTTTGTTAGGTTGCGTGAGCACAATTCAGCAATTCGCTTTGTCCATCTGCTGTTACTCATTCTTGCTGCATGACCCGCAGCAACTCTGTTTTTTGACGTGTACTGCCTTGATAATATCGCTTAAAGCAGACAAAAATTGCAGTACTTCACCGGAAATGTGTTGCAACTTGCTGACATAAAACGTTCCAGAGCACGTTGGGACGCTACCAACTTTTGCTCCTCATCAAGAGTGGTATTTCTTGTTTCACTTCCACTCGGGAGAACGGAGAACTATAATGTGGAGGAGTTGAGGATGTCTCCTTTGCAGTCGATGCACTGTTAGGATTGGAAAAGACGTCTCGTAATTTACTGAAGGCTATCCATTTTGCCGTTTTTCTTCCATTTGACACCAATCCTAAATCGTTATTCATCTGTACTGCTTGTGTGAAGTGGACATAGCTATTTACAAGCTCAATGGACTGATTCCCGCGCATTATTTCGAACTGGAGGCAACATTTTTTTCTTCATTTGCTTGGCTTTTTTTTTTTCACTGATTTCGAATCCACTAGTGAAATCCTTCCATTCTTCTATTTCTTCGAAACAATTGCAAGTTCGACAGTGCCTCCTCTTGGTTTTTCGCTTTACGTCGGAGAACAAAATGCGCGCTTGAAGCACCTGACCGCTGTGGAAAATTTCCCTGCTGTTTCAATTTACAAAAAAATTTTTTCAGTTCTCGGAAAACAAATGTGCTAAGCTTCGCAGTTCTGGCAATTCTTATTTATGTACAGTCCTCCAAAAGTATGGTTCTTCTACATATCTCGGTGCGAGAGTCAGTCCTGGTTCGGATACGCATCGTCGAAGACGAGCCTGCAGTAATTTTCCTTTAGAAAAGTAAAATACAACAAAGCGACAAGACAATACACGCATCTTCACCTAATCGGTAGGGTTTCTTCATCATGGTCCAGGAGTGGGGCCGCTCCAAACATGCATCAAGGACATGTTG